TTTTTTTTTTTTGTTTTTTTTTTTTGTTTTGATGTGTACCTACCGGTAGTCCGAGGCTCGGCACGGTTTGGGATACCGGTAGGCTGAGCCACGGGCCTTGACAACCGGTAGGTACTGGTGGTTTAATCCCCTCCTAGGAGGGCAATGGATGCTGCTCATCATTACACATCAGATTGAAGTGCATACACTACAAATCGTCACAAACTTTTGTTTGTATAATCAAATGATTACTGTGTTCAGGGACGCTGGACCCGTTTTCCAGCAGGTGCTGCTCCCCACCAATAGATGGAGCCTCCCCGACGGCGCTAGTGGTGTCTGCTCTTACCAGCACCCCTAGTGTTAGCTCGGGTTGTTTCTTCAAAAAAAAAAAAGAAAAAAAAAAGAAAAAAAAAAAAAGAAAAGACAGGTGAGAGTCAACCTTGGGCACTCGGCCATGTGGTAGAGGCCCCCCCAAATCCTATGGGACTCCATCCCAACCTACCACTCTTGTTGGGTTTTTTTTTTTTTTTTTTTTAAGCCCAGCCTGTGGGTGTTGTAGACGCCAAGGACCTGACCCTTGGGCAGCCAATGGTTGTCCTGCAGAGAAGGCCACCCACCCTACCCATTCCCACGTTAATACTCCCAGGGCACCCCCAGTCCCTACTATCCTACCTCAGTGTGACCAGCACTCAGGACCATCACCCTACCAGTATCGAGGACAACTTGGTCCAGACAGCAGTGACAAGCACCAAGGCTGGGCGAACCCTCAGCCCTACTGGAAAAGGAAGCGGACGAACCTTGCCGTACGGGAACTTCGGACGCCAGGCTCATGCAATCTTCTACAGGCCCAATTCAGAGAGTCTACCCAGCAGGAGTACCTAACTAAGTAAGGCAAGCCGGCGCCCACTGACACATCCTGCCATCCTCTCGTAATTTTTTCCCCGCGCACTCCCACTCCCGCTATCCTACCTCGGTGTCTACCACTCAGGATCGTCACCCTCCAGTCTGGGGGTGACCTGACCGAATAGTGGTTGCGGGTATCAGGGCTAAGCTGTGTCCCACAGACCCCACTCAGCCCTGATCGAAGCATATTCGAGCCTGCCTTGCCGCCCGGGTTACTTCAGGCGCTAGGCATAGATGTTTCACTACAAGTCCTATAGGTGGACCTATTTTTTGCATTCCTACCATTGTATACACAGTTGTTGTTACTGTTGTTGGTTGTTACGTTGTTCACTGTGTACCCTGTTGTTATTACCACTTTGTTGTTGTGTACACTGTTGTTATTACTACTTTGTTGTTGATGCTCAACTGAATATGGGAGGTAGGCAACCCAATCAATCCCGAAGACTGCCCCCCGAACACTGTGATGAACCACTTTCAAATTCTGTGGTGCGCGATTTTCTGCGCGGTTGCAATGAGGGGTCCTAAGATGGGAAGGTTGGGTCAATTACGGGAGATCGGGATCAGGGGGAAATTGCATCAGTGCCCTCGTTTCTTCGTCTTTTTCATCGTCTCTTTTTCGGATGGTTGGGCTCAGGGCCGGGTGGCACGGCGGGTGAGTCCCAGGACGATCGATTGAATGTTGGGCTGTGTGAATTGCGCGCTGTCATGCGCGCGAGTAATAAATGTTGACGTCGCTTTTTTTGTTTCGGTCTCGGACCTTTTAGGCGCAGATATCGCGCGGGATTTCTGCTTCATTCTTTTTGAATTTTCCTTTTTGAATTTCTTTTCAGATTTTGTATAGCCTATACGGCTCTCGGAATTCCAGACTTTCTTTTCGGAACTTGTGCTTTTCACTTTTCTCGCATTAGTTAGGAATTGAGGAATTTTTGTATTTAGGATTTTCTTTTGCTGCGCGGCGCTTTTTGCTTACGCGCTTCTTTATGCGGCCGCAACGGAACTCTGATAAGTCGGCCCCTTTAATCGTGTGCGTAACTGTAATTTTGGGCGGGCGCCATTGTAACCGTATCTTTTTCTTCTTGAGCTTTCCCTTTCCCGCCCTTCTTCTCCTTCTTTTCGCTGAGTTTTTGTAGCCGCGCTCTGCATGATCGGATCGATGCGTGGAGAGTGGCTACGTCCCCCACGCCGCGATTGGGCCATGCAAAACGTAGGCGTCCGTTCTCTAATCTTCTTTCTAAGTCTCTGTAATTCCGTGTTCTTCGCGCATGCATGCACGCTATAAATTCCGGCTGCGCGATTAGTTAGCTCTCTTAACCAGCTGTTGGAAGCTCGGGGTTGCACGATCAAGAGAGGGTCGGCACACGAGCGAAGTAAGAGGTGAGTAAAGCAGGAGTCGGGCGACCCGACGAGCTGGTGCCAAACGCGCGGGGTTGACGTGGGCCACGACGGACTGTGGGCGCGGGCAAACCCGATGGGTGCGGGAGGACTAAGCGGGGTGACGACTTCGTGGGTTGGTGCGCGACGACGGACTGTCCGCATCGGAGAGAGAGAAAGAGAGGAAGAGAGGAAGAGGGAGATGACGTTGATGGACGCGGATTTGCTGTTTCTTTTATTTTTTCTCCCTCATGTCTCGTGTATATAAATTTTGATTTCGGCTCTGGGTGATTTGCCCGTTCTGTTTTTCGGAATCTAGACTTGGTTTTTCGCTCACACTTGTCCTTGCGATTTCTCGTCTCGGATATGGTGTTGCTGAATGAATGGATGAATGGATGTTATGTCTGTTTGCTGATTCTCGTACCCGATCCTTGCTTTGTTTCTCGTCTTGATGTACTCATATGAAGGGTAGGAATTTTACACAGTCATCAATGTTGTTTCCATTTTTGTTTATCNCATATGAAGGGTAGGAATTTTACACAGTCATCAATGTTGTTTCCATTTTTGTTTATCTTTTGATTGAACTGTTGTGATTGTTGCATTATGCATGCGCAAAAATTACGGAGTGATTAGACGATCGAATGCCCGTTGCCCCGCGAACGCCGCGCGAAGACGCGTGTAAACACGACCTGATCTGCGCATTTACACGTGTCCCCGTGCGTCGATTTGACAATTCCAAAAAGGATCATTGATTGAAGGAATTCTGTTTGAGTGGATACGGCCATTTGAGGTCTGTGGCGGACCAATCATTCCGTGCGAACACGAGTAAGCGCGACTCGATTCGCGCAGCCAGCACGTGCACGCACGAGGTGATCGCAATCGGCACAGACCTGCCCT